TGCGTTTTCGTAACCGGCAAGCCTGTAGAGCACTTTTTCGGCGCTGAAATGCATTTTAGCTACATACTATCAATACGCTACTGAAAATACCTACAAAGATTTCCACTGACGCTTAAAAGTCTCCAAGGCCTGTTTGGCTGCGTAGTCATTCATACATGGTCAACCATCATCCAGTCTTCTGCCACGCTGATTCGCAGTGCTACTAGTTTGAGATCCACAGTTCATTCCTCCCAATTCATAGGATAACCACTTAATTTTACGATGAAATATATCTTCTTCTGACACCGCTTAGCAATTAAGCTTATCCTTCCATCTACAGTTGCTATAACCACTTTCAACATACTTAAGGGGCTAGTTGGCCTGGATGACTCCAGACGGCAATTCGTCCGGAAAGCCCGCCTCCGTATTATGTCGAGCGGAAAAACTGGATTCTCATAACGTTATGTATGCCGCTCACGTATTTTGCATTCACTAGACCGGAGCGTGCTCTAGAAACCGCGTTAATAGGGGTATCGCCATTCTGAACGAGGAGGCTTGCCCAGGAGTGTTTTTTAGTTCCAGAAGCTTATATTTGTTCAAAGGTTCTCGTTGTGAAGGATGTCATCTACTGCAGCTAGTGATGAAATCTAGGACACAAGTTTTGTCCCATTTCGAACCTGTTAGCTTGATGGGTCGGAACACTGGTGAATGATTCCGTTCGAACCGAGACCAAAACTCAACACCTATCGCTTCAAACACCAGGGTGTTGTCCACCTGGCCCTTCGGGCCCGAGAGCCACAACATCGGCATAACAGTGCATCCACCGACAGGGACCAAGTCATTCGATCCGGTATAGCGATGAGGGAATACCAGTATCAAACAGTGTTATTTATTTCAGTGCCACGTGTTTGCTAGGGGTTTGGGAAATATCACCACGGTCTGTGAAATAGACGGAATACACAGTTAAGGCTTGAGTACAGCCACACTCCATACCAACGCAGCCGGACAATTAATTCCAAATCTTTTTTCACGACATTTGCATTCACAAGATCTCCCTGATGACATACCTAAATGGGCAAATTGACCTTTCAAAAGAGGTTCAGTGAAGACAAACTTAAAGTTTTATCTGACTATAACATAAGCTATGGGGACTGACTGTGAGGACCAAGTTAAGTCTTCATGCAGTCATTAATCTTAAGGTGTGAAGTGATTCGACAGCAACATCATGTTATGAAGTACGTCCAAGGTCCTTTTTCGATGGCCGGCAGGTAAAGGTAGTGATTCTTGACAGATTGGTACCATCCGAAACAAGGAAAATATCCGAAACAACTGCGCGGGCCAAGGCACAGCAAGCTAATCAAAGCTCACTTACACTCAACCAGTTATTGAACTAGAAAAAGCACTCTGCTGTGATGATCTTACACTGCACAGACCATCTTATTCAAGCACAGTAAGACTAATATGAAGCTTCTTTGGAAGCCATCACAAGAATACCAGTAGAGTCTCTTCTTGAGATGTGACTGCTCTCCGGGCTGTGATATGTTGTCATGGGCGTTTTGGCACGATTCTTGGTGGTGTCTTCAGGACCAACTTCATAAAGGAGCGCACTACACTCTACCGTCTCGCGAGTTTCTGGATGGTGTTTTTACTGACCTTGAGTGTTGTCTAGCTGTAAGTTGGGGAGGGGATATTTACCACCCCCTGACCCCCTTACTTTAAAACCTAGTCATATTGGTAGACAGTGATTTTTTGGAGTCGGATTGTTCTGCTTGTTGCCTTTACTGATTTGCCAGGTCAGTTTGTCCTTGGTTGGTGGATGGCTGTTTTCATTCCAAGCACTTTGTAGGTTGGGCCTGCATTCGCATATCTAACGGCTACATTTTCGTTGGAATGCCATGCTTCTAGAAATTCCCTTGCAGCCTTTGAACCTGCTCCTCGGAGAAATGTCACACTAAAATTGGATTACAATCGACCACAGTGCCCAAGTTTCATTCTTATATTATTGCCCTTTGGAGAGTTCTAACATTCTTCCAGTCAAATTTGTGATCATGACTGGCTCCATGAATTGAAACCAAGGAGGCTAAGCTATGTTGCTTTACTGCCAGTGGGTATTCATGAGTTTTCGAGCAATCGGACGGGTATACCGGCAAAACTAGCGTTGTGGAAATCGGTTTTGTAGATTACGGTCCGACCGTCATCTTTCGGCTTGTGCGACATGCTGTATGGTGACCTTATTTGTGGCCTGCAATTGTTTTTTTCCATATTCCGTAACAAAGTTGGTAGGCCAACTGGCTTGTGTTAATCCTTGCAGTAGGTTTAGATGTGAAGTTCTAGTTTCTTTTGAATGCGTTCATTGAAGAGGCTGATGCACCTTTCCCGGGTAAGGGGTTCCAACCGTTGACCACTCGGTGTGAGAAGCACGAACTCACGCTAAGTTGATTCGACAGTGTCTTTGGAATTTTCGTAGTGGCCTCAAAGATGAACAATCTTTTGGGGCCGGAAGAAATAGGGCATGTCCGTCCCAAGGCCACTGTTAAGAATACGGAATGCTAATGTTAGGACCCCATTCTCCTGCCATGGAAAACGGAAAAGGATTTCGTCTCTTCAAACGGTTCTCATGGGATACGCTAAGCGGACGGGCACTAACCTGGCACCGAGTCCTTGAGCGGGCTGAGGCACCTTGGTACACTTTACTAAGCGAAGGGTGGCCGTCTGAACATAATTTTCCAGACGAAGTAGAAAACTGTGGTGCGCGACGCCCGAAACGTGTCTTCATCGAAGCATCCGAATGCTCTACAAAAAGGGCCACAATACTCGGGACCCTTTGGTGGGGTTTCAGTGCTGTGTGCAGATGCTTTCAAGTCGTGGTTAATAGTAACTACCACCCCTTTGATTTCTTAAACATCCAGTACTTGCACTTCATCTGTCAGATACTGGTGGTAGCTGTTATGGTCAATAAGATAACTGCACATTTGCTAGAATTTGTTTGTAGACACCAACACTTGAACCAGCTGACCGGTACATTTAGGCTTGCTTGTAGTGCACGATTTTCGTCATTGTTACGGATAAACTTCCATACTGTCACGTCGTTGGTAAACAACAGCACCGGTGACCATATCCGGGAACTGGGAAAAGAAATGGGAAGGACTGATGATTTTCCCTTGTGGGACACCACTCCTGAGAGGCTGATAACTGGACACTGTAGTACGCATCCCCATTGTGTATCTCCTGTCTCATAAAAAGTCTTTCATCCAGGCCTGGGTTGTAGTATGGCTAAAATCCGAAACTTGTGGGCATCATCAGCCCAGTATCCGAAAACTTATTGAAAGCCCTACTGATGGTGATGAGCGCAACGTCTACGAGCTACCCATTCCTCTCTGTCTCTACTAAGTGTTAGTTAAGTAAGATTGACCAGCCCGAGCTCCAAGTTGTACAGGTGCAAAAAGACCATGGCTTTTTATATGGGTGCGGATTCTACCTCTGATAGTCTTCCATAGTAATTCAATAGCTAGGTTGCTTAAGCCAACGGGAAAGTAGTTCGTCAAAGGTTGCCTACGGCCCGACTGGAAAACTGGTCCGATTACAGCATCTTTCCACTCTCTTGGAGGCTGAGTTTGAAACAGAGACATGCTGAATAGCTTAACAAGCGGTCAGCACATAAAGTCATCCCAGAAGGATAATGGTCTCGGGTGCCAGTCGTTAGGGCCAAGGGATTTCCTAGGCTTAAGGTTGCTCAGTAGCTAGAGGACCCTGTCTCTTGTGACGTGCACTGCGCCTACTGTTGTGATAGTTTGAGCAATACCAGTCGATTGGTAGCTTCTCTCTCTGCTAAGAAGACTGTCCTGAATAAGTCGAAGAGACATACGGCTTTGGAAAGACTAGGCTCAGCCAACGTTTCTGAATCTTCAGCCGACAGGAGACATGGGACTCCATCTACATTTTTCGTTCTCATTTTGGCGTACAGGAACAGCCGATTTGAGCAGACCTGCACTCCATCGCTAGTCGACTTTCGAATTTTATTCCGGATCTCGTAATATTTTATTCACAAATATCCCTAACTTTCCAGTACGAAGTCTTGAAACCCTCACTTCCAGTGACCGAAATTCCCACTTGAGGTCGGGAGACTGCTTGTTGATGTAACCGATGGTCCATCAGTCACTTGAACGGGTTATGTGCCCACACAGCGGAAACAGATCAGAGGGAGAGAGGGAGCAAACGTTTGGGCAAATTATTCTCTCAACCAACTCTTTTTATTACCGTATGGTGAAACCTCTTGGTTCATTGCTTGTATATAGTCCTCTGGTCATCTCACCCATCTACTAATTTTAATTTAACCACTTTTATGCTCTTGAGATATAAATTTATTGATTTAACACTACTTTGGTAATCATTAGAATTTAGGATTTGTCCTAGTGCGAACTTGACAGACGCAAAGACCAATCACTAATTATTCGGACTTGTTATATACCCACGAATACGAGACCAAGGAAGAACACGACAGCGTGGTCGGATGGAATAGTATATTTGGATGGTTGTGCCGAAGTACCGATGCGTTCCAACTAACTGGCTAGAGAGTCGAATACGAGCAGTGCAACGTAACACGACAGCGTGCCAAATGGCCAGGATGCTTGACCGGGTGCCTTCAGCTTAGCGAGTCCAGTTAAACTATCAAGGTTAGAATCAATGTCGAAAGTCGTCAAACCCTGGGCTATTGATTTTGGGGAAGTGTGTGACGCTACAAGTACTTTCATCCCTTGCGATGTTCACTCGTCCACCAGGTTTAGCAAAGGGAAAGAAGGCACTTAGTTAGATTTCAGAAACCTTAATCCATCAAGAAACTAAAACTGCATCTTGCAAGCCTTATTGAATACCAGGAAATCAACTGGTCATGCTACTATGTAGGAGGCAATATTGAGCATTGGGCGTTTATTCAAGGTTGTCCGTTACACGTGTGACCTAGAAGGACTCAAAGTGCTCATATGTTAGATGATCACTGTCTTCTTATAACTTGAACCATACAGATGTCAGGTGAGTTAAACTTTTTCCTGCAGGTAGGAACTGTGGAAACCTAACGACTGTCACTACGAAGCTTTATGTAGGATATTTCAGCCATGACGTTACTGCATTTGGTATTTACGGGGCCACTAAATTTCGCAGTTTTGGAGTTAAAAACGATAGAGTTCCATCTGTTCTAATCTATTTCCTGTTTTCGGTGGTGAGTGAGTCCAACAATTACCTTCGCATGTCAATCACTGATGCACAGGACCTTTAATACGTCCATCGTGTGGCTATAAAGTCAGTTCGCTGGCCCTGGTAACCACAATTCATGTATCCTAACCACGTCCAGTTACATAATTTCAAGTAAATACTGAAACTTTAAGGGATTCGGCGACTTACATAGCGTTAAAGTTTGATGGACGTAGCTTGTGTGGTTTAGATGTTATCTGTATCAGACTCAAATAATCAGTGTAACGAGTATCACTAAATAAGTGACATTATTAATTTTGGTGTGCCAGTGTAACGCTAGAAACGGTTAATAAGGTAAAGGTTTGACAACTTCTGAAACATCACTTTTGACCCGTATAGGTCCTATGTTTATTATTCATTGAAATTGTAAGCAAGTGAGCATTATCTGCATTTTATCAGGGGATTTCCTCCTACAGCAGTTTTAGCTATTGTTCAAGTAGCATTCTACATTTAATTCTGTGAGTGGCAGTCTTGTTCTTAGATCATGATAACAACAGAAAGGATGAACGGCCATTTTAATCCACTGCTGTTTAGAACTGCTATTAGCGACTGCCCCAGAAATCCTACCCATGGTTCTGTAGTTTTTGGCAAAGCTATAAAATACTCACCGAAGTTCTCCTTATCAAAGCTTGATCAATGTGTTCGTTATTTTTCACGTACTCTTAATTAGTACATTCTGCTTACGAAGCGCTATCAGTTTCAGCTAACTGGAGTTCGTGGCATGTAACTGGTTTGTTTTAAATTCCTGGTCTACATCTGCTGTCCTGACGTGATTATCAGGCTTGTCTACCACGATGACCCAACGACCTTTACTGAATGGGACGAGTACTGTTTGAGATCTTACCATGTTAAAGTGTTCTTTTGGATGGTGATTAGACAAAAAGCAGTTATTGTCGTAGCGGAAGTATCCAACGCTACAGTATGCGTTTTGACTGCAAAGTCGTATCCCCGACTGTGCAGTGTGACAGCGGTAGTGTGTTCCCGCTGATAACCAGCATTTCATTCTGATGCTCCCTGCTTCAGTCAGATAAGATAAAGAAAGGGCAGTTCAAAAGTAGCATAGTATTTTGTCCTGCGGCCCTTCGATGCCGGCGGTACGGCTTTGTAGCCCAAGGGTAACAAGTTTTAGACCAAAACCTACCCAAAAGACCGTATGTGATCGGTTTCAAGTAGATATTCCCTGGGCCCTACTGTCACGTGAAGCTAGACCATGTTCAATTTCAGGTGCCTTAGGAAAATGTCAATTGTCACGGTGTGGGTAGCTGAGAAGCCCCACACATCCACAAACTTCCAGAAGTATACTAATCCACCTATCATAACCCACCTTCCTTATATTCATCTCTTTATCTGTACTATCTGCTTCTGCCACTAACATTAAGCCCCCTAAAACTTCTTGAACTTCTCACTCTGCTACTATTGCTGACTGTGTGCACCAGCAAAACACCGATTATAGTTTCCTAAAGTCATGCTGTTGATTCGACATTATATCTCTCGGCTTCTGAAGTCTGTTCCAAATCTGGTGGCAGATTTCACTTGCCATATCTCTGGAATTCCGCAGAACCTAAAAATGGCTATTCATATAACTTCATCTGGTTAGTATGTTGGATCTACAATATTCATTTTGCGAGATTCACCAGCTAGTCTCTGTAAACTCGCATGTGTAGGTATGGCACTTCTAAGGTAGAAAGCGCACTTCATGGGTAGATGCTAGATGGTAATCATCTGTGCGATATCTAGTTGGATGGATTTATAAGAAGTAGAAAGAATTTAGGCACTTGTCGCTACCTTTTAATCTCCCCCTACACAGTCACCTACTTCATTTTAGAAAATGAAAAAGATGGGTTTTAATGGAAACTATTAAACCACACAAAGTGAATCCCTGAAAAGCTGGATGTTCCTTCTGTTATATTCATCAGTACACCGAAAATAAAGTTAAACGGGAATGGTGATAATGGGCAGTCATTGCGAATATTACTTGTTTTTGTTACTTCTGATGACTAGTTTGCGTAAACCCGTACGTGGTTTGCGAGGCCCAGTGGAGAGCATTTATTAGCACAACACACTTGATCGGTACTCTGCACAATGATATGCTGTCAGAACACCTCTCGGTCACCAGAGTCGGACTTCGCCTTCAGGTCAAGAAATATAGCAGGCACGTGTGTCGAAGAATAAAAATCTAGTCGATGCAGTCTCATCCAAGTTTGAATTCTGCTTGGTTTTCCCTATTTTAGTGTTCTTGAGGTCTAGTTAAGCTCCCAATAACTATGGATCCTAGAAACATAGGTACGATGTGAGTCAAATCGATCTCCCTATGGTTGTCACAAGAGGACTCACCTAATTAACTGGAATGACTAGTGAAGTATACTAGTCTAACGGGACTACCTTTGATTCCCATACACTACCTAGTACCTCTGTTGCTCTGATCAATAATTTACTACCTCCATTCCCAAATGCATCTGGTGAAAAACCGTCAGGTTCTGCTATTTGCATTTCTCCACCTTTCAAAGAGCTTTCTTAACTTCATGGACTTTTGGAGTACCGACATCTACGTTCCATTCCGGTTTGAGCAGGCTGGATGCTGGGTGACTAGAGCATTGCTGTGGGCCAGTTGAACTGTTCTTAAAATTGTTCCGCCTAACGTTTTAACTGCTTGTCTAGAGGGGCTATCAGAAATCCATTCTTTCGAATGATCTCACTGACGATTATCTTCTTCGTACCATTATGTTTAATAAACGTAAATAACTGTTGAGTACTATCAAATCTGATACCACCTCAGTCTCCTTCGCTCTCTCCACCCACCACAGCTTGTAGTTTTACAAATATTCCTATCAAACTCATGTTTAAGTTGCTTTCATTCATCATCGTGATTGGAGCTAGCCGAAATGAATCTGCTCTCACCGATTATTTTGGGTTAGGTTGCGGAAATCTACTTGCTTTCGTCATCCTTTGAATGTAAGTTGACAGCTGTCTTTACCTGTTTTAGTGGAGCTGTGATATTGGTGCAGGGAGTTTATTTTCAATCAGTGTGTCACGGGTTTGAACACCGCTGCAACTACGAAGATGCGGGTAGGTAAGTTCCATCGTTATCCCTCACACAATAGGTGTGACCCATTGCCAACTGCACGAATGTACACAAGGTTGCTGAATGCGTTTCACTGTTGCTTTTCGTATTTCTGTTTTTGCAGTAGATTGAGTATTGCTATAGTCTTTAGGAAGTTAGTTACTACCATGTTCAAGTAAATACTAGCGTATCTTTTCTATATGTCCGTGTGGCAAGCAAAGTAAGCAACAGATTCTATGGAAATGGTTCAGAATAATTCTCATTTGCACATATCTTCATCTTTATTGTTGTACCGAGTTTTCTCATTCTTTCATTCCTTGTTATAGTCTTTTTGCAACTCCGTCACGTTTGGTTTTTTTCCTTATTTCCCCATCTTTCTTCTTGATGTGATATAAAGTCTGTTGACTTTATCCGTTGCGCATTAATTTTTGGTTTCTCTTTGATGTTGACTGAGTGGTCCTTATAGGTACCTATCTAACTTCCTTATCTTCCAGTTGAACGGACGAACTTTTAACTGTTTCGCGTTTCCTGCGCCCATTATGGCGCAAGCACCCACATACTCGTAATAACGTGCGATCAGCTATTTTAACGTCTAAGTGGGCAAGGTGAACCAGTTCGGAATGGTATGAGGTATCTGTGGTATTCAATCCCGACACTCGGTTAGGTCAGTTAACACCAACACGGGACCGGGTATTAGTACGTAACAGCCCAAGTCATCATACCTCATAACATCACATCAAGCGAGTAGGTAACAAGATGAAGGACAGAGAAATGAGGAAGAAAGTAGACGAAAGGGGTAGGAAGTCGTGACAAGAGAATAAGAAAATTCCATGCTGTTGTCCCACAGTTTTATTTTGGCATTCACTTGTTCTAGGCTAGAAATAACTTCAAACAAAGTAGACTATATGATTTATCGTCTGCCAATGTCAAACCAACAGTAGACTCATAGGTCATATCACAATAGGCTATTGTTGAAGGGGAGCGGTTCAGATCTGGTCGTTTGTGTATTGGTCAGATCCTCTCCTACTTACTTGATTAAGCTTATCTTCAGATCACTGTTCACGTATGATAAAGTAGATTGGTAAGAAGCTTCAGGAAAATGCGTCAAATTTTAGGCATTTTCAGAAAGTGTTGCATGTTTAAGCTCACCACATATTCTTGTTCGCAGTAATAACTGGTGTTGTTTAGCATAGCTCCAGTATCAACTGCTTAGTAACAGCATCAAGTTATGAAGTGATTGATTATTGTCTTGAACCGTATGGAAAATTGTAGGGAAAAACTAAGTGAAATTATGTTAAATCTAGTCGATACACTAAGTTGGTGGACCGTGCTTTGATCTCTACCGTTACTGACTACTACTTTTGCCTCTTTTGAGCTCCTGCTGATCTTTGTGGAACAGTTTTGTTTTAAGCAATTAGTGTAATTTGTTCTCTTAGTCTTCACATGACGAAATGTGGAATAATAGTCTACCCCAGAGACGCATTCTCGTCTTATGACAATCTACATTTTTTTGACAAAGAATCTCTGTAGTACTATGTTTCATTTGAATGAGAGCATTAAATATAGTTTTACTACAAAAATTATTCCCACCAGCTACATTTCTTAGATGCTTCAGTTTTTTCATCCACGAACCTATTTGTAACTCACTTAATTGGTGTGTCCGACTATCACGATTTCCACATCGTGAAAAGCAGCATTGTAATATTTGGTAAACAGCATCAAGAAGATAAATGTTTTCCCGACGAGCTACCTGCTGAGGTACTGCTTTTAGATAAAGCCTACTTCTCTGTGTAAGTGTACTATAACTAAACAGAATATTTTTGGGCTTTTTCGACTCAGTTATTAGTCTCATTGGTTTAGATAGATAACTTTCAACCAGTGGGCCACGAGTTCTAACCCTGCCCACTTACCGAGGTTTGGGAAACCAGGTAGTATCATTAGCCCTCAAATAACAGGTATGGCTCACTGCATAATGCACCAATGTGCACAAGACTGCTGCGTACATTTATTATATATATGATATTATACTCACCCATATTTTGCAGACCCATTTTATGTCGAGGGAGATTTAGAGGATTTCGAAGAAGATGACCCAGATCGTCAGTTCTATGGTGATGAACAATGCAACGAGGACGATGAAATTACTCCAGATATGTGGCAGGAGGCCTGTTGGATCGTTATAAGCAGTTATTTTGATGAAAAAGGGTTGGTTAGACAACAGCTAGATTCTTTTGATGAATTTATCCAAACATCAATTCAAAAAATTGTCGAAGATTCTCCCATTATTGAATTACAAGCAGAAGCTCAGCACACTGGCGGGATTTTGGAAAATCCTGTAAGCTTTTCTGTTCTCCAGATGATTGACCATTTCTCCCTCAGGTTCAGTATCGTTTAAAATTTGAACAAATTTATTTGAGCAAAGCTACTCACTGGGAAAAAGATGGCTCTTCGGTACCAATGACGCCAAATGATGCGAGATTGAGGAATCTTACATATGCCGCACCACTTTATGTTGACGTCATGAAGAAAGTAATACGTGATGAGAATGAAGAAGAAAAGCCGTTGGAGAAGAAGTTTATCGGAAAAATACCAATTATGTTGAGGTAGACCAGTTTTCTACTTCCTTAATCTATTTCCCCTGCATTAACTTTTTGTAGATCTACTTACTGTCTCTTATCAGTAATGAGTGATCGTGATCTTGCTGAATTAAATGAGTGTCCGCTAGACCCTGGAGGATACTTTATTATTAATGGATCTGAGAAAGTTTTGATAGCACAGGAAAAAATGGCTACAAACACAGGTTTGTTTATAAAAAGCATGGCAGTTTGATTGAAATATTTCGTTTTCTTTTCCTTTAGTATATGTCTTTCGACAGAAGGATAGTAAGTATGCCTACAAACAGAATTCGTTCGTGTCTTGAGCACAGCTCACGACCGGCTAGTACATTATGGATCAATATGATGGCACGTGGTGGCAAAGATGGAAGCAAACGTGCTACTATTGGTCAAAGAATCGTAGCTATTCTACCGTACATAAAACAAGAGATCCCGGTGTTGATTGTTTTTCGAGCTTTGGGTTTCGTGGCTGATCGAGATATTTTAGAGCATATCATTTATGATTTTGATGATACTGAAATGAGAGAAATGATCAAACCATCACTGGATGATGCTTTTGTAATCCAGGTAGGCCGTTTTTGTGTATGGATTGAACTAATTGGTGCTTTTTAGGAACAGAAAGTCGCTCTCAATTTCATTGGCTCTCGTGGTGCCCGTCCTGGAGTGACGAAAGAGAAGAGAATAAAGTATGCCAAGGAAATTCTGCAAAAGGAAACCCTACCACATGTCGGAGTGTCAGATTTTTGCGAAACTCGAAAAGCCTACTTTTTAGGTTACATGGTTCACCGTTTGCTACTGGCGGCCTTAAAGCGTCGTGATGTGGACGATCGGGATCATTATGGAAACAAGAGATTAGATTTAGCTGGACCGCTTCTTGCTTTTCTCTTCCGTGGATTGTTTAGAAATCTTACCAAAGAGATCCGTTTGTACGCTCAAAAATTCATAGACAAAGGGAAAGATTTCAATTTAGAGTTGGCCATTCGCAGTCAAATCATAACTGATGGATTAAAATATTCCCTAGCTACTGGCAATTGGGGCGATCAGAAAAAAGCGAATCAAGCTCGTCCAGGTGTCTCACAGGTAAGATTAAATTTTAAGAGAAAATATACCCCGGTATGTTTTAGGTTCTTAATCGTTTGACCTTCGCATCCACTTTATCGCACTTAAGGCGTCTTAATTCGCCTATTGGAAGAGATGGAAAGTTGGCTAGACCTCGACAGTTGCATAACACTCTTTGGGGTATGATTTGTCCAGCTGAAACACCTGAGGGTCATGCTGTGGGGCTAGTTAAAAATCTTGCTCTAATGGCTTACATATCTGTTGGAAGTCAACCGTCTCCTATTCTAGAATTCTTGGAGGAATGGAGTATGGAAAATTTAGAGGAGATCGCTCCCTCAGCTATTGGAAAGTAAGTGATATTTTACTGCATCACTTTATTCTCATTGTAACATGACACATTTTCTGCTTCATGCTTTTAATATTTCCTGATATATATATCTCCATTTCAATTTGTTTTAGAACTTGTAAAATATTGTCAACGGCTGCTGGGTAGGTATTCACAGTTCACCCGATCACTTGATGGGTACACTGCGAAAACTTCGTCGTCAGGTAGATGTTATTGTCAGTGAAGTCAGTATGATTCGGGACTATCGTGATCAAGAGATACGAATTTACACAGATGCTGGTCGTATTTGTCGTCCATTGGTTATCGTTGAGAAAGGCAAACTACTCTTGAAGCGTAGTCATATCGAACTTTTAAAGGATAAGGCATACAATCGTTACAGGTAGGTGCTTTCCTCTTTAAAATTTCTAATTTTATAACAAGAATGTGTTTAGATAATGTAATTAATAGATGCAGACGTGTTTAATTTAAGAAGTGGGCGTTGGCAGTAAAATTACATTCATTTTGATATGAAAACATTACATTTTATCTATCCAGGAGGGTACCTTAGGTTGCATTTTTTGTTGAACTAAACTCATTTACTGTTTAACTGTTAACTACAAACTCTGTACTTACTTGTACCATAAACTCAGTCGACCTACTGACTCCGTTTATTGTCAGCAGACAAAGGATTAAAGTACAATAATCTTGTTCAAAGCTTCGATAATGCTATGACTCATTAGTCTGAGGTTCTGACTACTATCCATTAGAAAACACGTTTAGACCTCAGTTCCCTCAGTGAAGCTGTGGTATGTCGCTTTAGACAGACAGTTTTCAAACAGTGCGTTGAGTTCTAACCGTGCTCCATCAACCAAGTTTTGACCAGCCTTTTAATGTCATAAACCCTTACAGTAGATGTGGCTGATAGTGCATAAATCTACACATAACAAGTTACTGAGTTTTGTTATTCGTCATATTAATCATAATGACAACATAATGATCACTTAGTCAATTTTATCGGGTAAAATTTCAATCCTGAAGTCTGCAAAACTTAATATTGGATTATTAGTGTGACCTAAAACTTTAGCACACATCTGTAGTATTTCCGGTCTATTGAAATGTTGAATATCTTCAGTGCAAGACTTTTATTACATGGTTGGGGAAATCAGCCTGGTGACAGACGAAGGTCTATCGTCATCCCTTAGCCTGCAGATGATCAATAATTGCATGCTTGTACAGCAGCATCGATATGCTTTATTTCATAACTTCGGGACCCTAATTTTCCTTCTGAAAGTTACTACACAAACAGAAAGTTGGCGTTAGTATCCTCCATCCCGACAAACAAATCCTAGCTTGACGTGGTGGCCCGGGTTGTCAGCCGTAAAAAGTCGTACGAGCGTGTTTCTTAAGGTCCTTCTACGTCAGGAAGATAGGTCAGAAAACAATAAGGCTGAAGCCAGATAAATTTATTGTGAAAGTGCTAACTAGCAAACCATGCTGTTAGCGCAGCTTTCAGCAAGAAACTGGCTAGATAGTTATCGGGACAGAGCAACTTCACTCATCTGGAGGCAGCCTGGTGCCATCTGTAGTCTTCTGTAGAAAAAAGCTTTAGAGACCGAACCGACTTCCAGAAAAGGTCGGAAAGCATCAGTGGATCTCAACAAAATCTTTCGAAATAATGGATGTGCGTGAATTCATCCGTAGGGTTCTGAGCACAATATTGAGTAGAAGCAACTTAAACGTAGACTTACACGAAGTCTACGCAATCATCACGACAGATGTTGGGTACCGAAGGCTAAAGAAATGGAAAAAGCAACCGCCATCGGTAACGGGAGACAGTTATTTAGACTCGAAAATCTACAGGCAAAAACTAACAAGTTGACAGAAAAGGTGAGGCAGCGAAGACGGGACTTCTTTCAAGTGAACGTAGAGAAGACGGAGGTGATGATGATACCCAACAAACACCACCAACCACAACAATAAGCTCCAATCACCATGAACGGGAGAAACTTAAAGGAAGTAGCCTCTTTCGCCTATCTAGGCAGCACCGTTTCAACTACAGGTGGTACGGGCACAGATGAGGATGTCAAAACCAGGATCGGAAAGACAGCAAGACAGGTGTTCATTAACCTGAAACCAGTGTGGAGATCTTCTTCACTCAGCATAAAGCGTGAACGAGATCCGGATTTTCAACACTAATGTCAGTAAAGTCAGTGCTTCTATATGGTTCAGAGACTTGGCGCGTCACGAAAAGCATTTCCAACAAAACAACAGATATTCATCAACAACTGCCTACGCTGGCTCGTTACTGAAGCTCAGATGGCCAGAAAGAATAAGCAACAAGGAACTCTGGGAACGAACCAACCAAGAACCTATCGCTCAACAAATGTCCAGAAGGAAATGGAGATGGATTGGGCATGCACTGAGAAGACCATTCGGGGACATCATACGCCAGGCACTCGAGTGGAACCCAGATGGGAAACGACGAGTTGGGCGTCCGAGGGTGACATGTAGGAGATTGTGTGAGGAAGAAATGAAAGCTTGTGGGCAGTCGTGGAGCCAGGTTCAAAAGATTGCAGAGAACAGAGTGGAATGGCGACGTGCTACTGAGGCCCTATGTTCGTTTCACTAGGAACCTAAGGGACGAATAATAATAATACTCCGAACTTTCTTCCAACCCGATCACATCTCATGTCAAGATAGTTGGCGTTCATTTAATTTACATGGGAAGTCGGATGACCTCTAATAGGGCATTGACGGACGACATCCCAGTACAATTCCAAATCCTCGCTTGGCTTTCTCTAACTGACGCCTTTTATGATCCTGCCGTCATATCTGATTAGCTATTAAGGGTCGGATGCACTGATTTGCAGATTACTCTGTTCTGCTGTATGGCTGTGAAACAGGGCTATCAAAGGTGGGGGATATAAGAAGGAACCAGATGTTAGATGACCGTTACTTTCGTAGCATAGACCATATTTTGTGTTTACCACCACGTCAGTTACGCAGAAGTCATGTGTAAAGTTTTAGGCAGAAAAGGAATGTCAGTTGATGAGGTTGTGAACCTTCATCGAGCGGCCAGAATAAAGCGGAACACCAGCCCATGATGTCTTTAACTTCTGGTCTGAGGCTTGTAGGAAAATATAAACTTCTTGTTTGGGGTCTGTGTGACAACGAGGCTCGGTGAATTGAAAGCTTAGGCGATATGACTCCGAATGGATCTCATTTGCACTGATGTATCCACACATTATCGTCATCTTCATCGCCATACTGAATTTAATCAAACATAACCTATACTCCTTACCTCTGTCTCCTCCCTTGCCCTCACCCCTTGCTACTAATATTAAGCCTCTAACAACACCTCAACTTCTCACTCTGCGACCACTCCCAACGACTAAGCAATCAAAACCTCATTCCCAGTCTCCTAAGACCTTGTCATCGATTTCATATTGGGCCTTTCAACGTTCAAACTCTATAACAAATCGGACAACAAGCATCGCTCACCAGAACTCTGGAATATCGAGCCACGGATGCATGCTGTGTCTCTGAAACACGTATACAGGACCCAAGTGTGGTTATTAAATTGACTTCACCTGGCCATATTAGTGAGTCTTCAGAATTCACCTTACGACTATCCGGAGACCCACTGGTTAGTTGTCATGGACTTGGTGGTACAGGCATAGTATTGAGTCATAGAGCAGAAAGTTCCCTTCCCCACTGGATACTATTCAATAGCTGTATATGTGCTGTTCAACTGAATGGATCTGTAAGAACTGGGAAGGATCATGAGAATAGACGGTGCCTATTTGTAATCTTCACCTACGCACCCACTGACTACAGTTCGCATGATCCAAAAGATGAATTCCATGAGGAGCTGTAAATTTTAGTACAGAAAGCAAAACGTCCAGATTTAGTCATAATGACAGGTGACTCCAACGCACAAGTAGGAAAGCTAAGCCAATCGAAAAGCTATCCTGGAGATATTTACGGTGATCGTCCGTTGCAATTCACTTCTGATAATCATTTTTTTCTGACCAGCACTAAATTCAAGCATCAGGCGAGACACTGTCTCACACGGCGTCCGCCGACTCCAAACCAACGATGGACACAAATAGATCATATTCTTACGAGCCATCTTCGGAGAGGATCAGTGGAGGATTGCCGCTGTTTCTGCAGTACCTGTCTAGACTCCGATCACTTGTTAGTACGGGCGCGTCTATGCCCGTGCCTTACTGGTCACAGAAAACACCCAGTCTATTCTCGATTGAAAAATGAGGACGCCAAGTACGTATTTAAGGAGGAGTTAGCTAAACATTTATCTGAACATGACAGTAATGTTTATGCCGAGGAAACCTGGTATGATATCAAGTCTGCTGTAGAAACAGCTACTAAGACAATTGGCAACGTACACCCTAAGGCTAGCAAACGTCACTGGATTTTCTCAACAACATCCGAACTCATTGATGCGAGAAGACTGATTCCCGCTAGTTGTGACCCGGATGAAGAGCGAAATCAACTGAGACATAAATTGACGAAGAGTTTTCGCAACAACCGTGAACAGTGGTGGGTGGCGAATGCGGGAGAGAGAGGCGGAGATGGAGAAGGCATCAGCGTAATGTGTAATACCCGGCTATTATTTAGCCTCATTAAAGACATGGGGAAGAGGAAGATGATGGTGAGTGAAACTGTCACAGGAAAGGATGGTACTCTGATAACCTCCCAGAACAGGCGGCTAAAACGTTGAACAGAACACGTTGAAGCACAATCCAACTGACCGACAGAACCGCTTCAGTTGCCCAGCATCCAGCCAGCCCAAAACTGAACGGGACATCGAAGGCGATCCCCCAACTATCCTCAAAGTTGGGAAGGTTGTTCCAAACCTGAAACGATGTAAGGCAGCAGGACCTGACAGTTTGCCATCCGACGTTCTCAAGGATGGAGATGAGAAATTGCTGCTTAAAGTGACAGAGGCACTAGGTGGTGTGTGGGAATCAGAAGTAGTGCCGTCAGACAAGTGTACTTCACTGATCTTCCCAGTCTATAAGAGAGGAGAGAAGTTTCCCTATGACATCGATAAGGGGATCAAGTTGATTAATATCGTGTCCAGGATCATTGGATCCAAAGTTGTCTGATGCCTAAATGAGGCTCGAAAACAAGAAACTTGAGAAAGTCATCTAGTAGTTTTTTTTAGACCAGGACTAGAGTACATTCCATCAGAGTTTCACTCTCCGAGAGGTTCTGGAATATGAGCATACCTACCAGCAACCGATACTTGGTATATTTGTTGACCTCAATGTGGCATTTGAGTCTGTCCACCGTGCGGTAATGTGCAAGTGTCTGACTGTGAAGGCAGTATCGAGCTCCTAAAGCAGCTATAAAACGCCAATTATTATTATTAGTTCCTTGGGTTCCTAGTGAAACGAACATAGGGCCTCAGTAGCACGTCGCCATTCCACTCTGTTCTCTGCAATCTTTTGAACCTGGCTCCACGACTGCCCACAAGCTTTCATTTCTTCCTCACACAATCTCCTACATGTCACCCTCGGACGCCCAACTCGTCGTTTCCCATCTGGGTTCCACTCGAGTGCCTGGCGTATGATGTCCCCGAAATGATGTAATGTGTCAACTACTTCACTTACTTGGTGAATTTCATCAGCCCGAGCGGGGTGGTTGCTGACGAAGTCTCAGGTTGAAAACAGAAGGTTTGTTAGGCGATTGGCAAGTAGCTCTGTCTGTGGTGCCGAATAGAGAGATATCCGACTGGCTATTAAAGGATGAGTATGCGGAGCTGCAGTTTGTTATGTCTTGTTATACGGCTATAAAATATGGCTGTTGGAAGTAGAAGATATGAAGTGGTTGTTAGTTTTTGGTCACATGTTTTTTTTCGTAGAAGTGCTCGTGTTCGGTGGAATTACCATTTGAGAAATGTAGAGGTTAAGCGAAAGGTACTAGGTAAGAAAGGTAAGTCGATCGATTAGGTTGTGTATTTTCAGGAATCGAGTGACTTGGATACTCGTTGCACGTGTCTAGCCACTGCCTACCTCTACTTGCAATACTGGCAGAAGTTAGATTAGGTTGGAGTAGGGTTCAGGGTGACCACACCAAGATATGGCTTCTATCGACTTGTTCTTTTCATGATGCTTGGAAGTGTGGCAACTTGAAACGATGCACTTTTGTTCGAGTTTCTACGTTGATTTTTTCTGTCTGTAATAAGATGTTTTTTGCGTCAGTCATTGTCTCTGGTGACACTGCCTTCTTTCAGTCGGAAGGAATCGTAAGAAGTAGCATACAAAGACGGTTTCAAATTCTTCCATAATCCACTTTTGCTTCTAACTTTAATCACTTTTACAATACGTTAGGATCAGCCTTCTAGCCAATGGTGTCTAGAGTCGATGGTACCATTATGTTCTGCTTTTTTTCTTCGCCTTCATAATGCCTCATGGTTCAGCATGGAGTAAATTCTTTTCTGGAGGTCTGCCAAGTACTTTTTTCAAGTTAGAGAAATTAATAATAGTAATAATTTATTTTGACGTGTACTAGTAGTATGCCCTTTTACAACTTTTTTTAATTTCTTATCCCTCGTTAGTTGGCAAGATCTTGTCCTCAGTGGTGTCGTGGAATATATTGATACACTTGAAGAAGAGACTGTTATGATAGCCATGGGTCCGGCTGAAATGCAGGCTGCAGTGAACTATTGTAAAACGCATACGCACTGTGAAATTCATCCTAGCATGATATTGGGTATTTGCGCCAGCATAATTCCGTTTCCTGATCATAATCAGTCACCTAGGAATACTTATCAAAGTGCTATGGGTAAACAAGCCATGGGTGTGTATATTAGTAATTTTCACACACGAATGGATACGTTGGCTAATGTATTATATTATCCTCAGAAACCACTTGTTGCCACTCGGTCTATGGAATACTTACGTTTCAGGGAACTGCCAGCAGGTGAGCGGTATTCTTCAACAGGACTTTTCTCTCTTACTTCTCATTACTATTGTTCGATTTTTTGTAAATTCCGTTTTCTTTTGAAATAACTTTTCCCTAATTATTGGTCACATGTGATCATTCTGTTTACTCCCTCCAATAATACTGCCTTTCAGTCGGTCGGGCCACTACTTCTGTACACAGACTCTTTTGAAATAGATATACGAATATACTCAAGTCACCGTTATACTGTGGAGGAATTTCAGTCGTTAGAATTATCGTATCCTAAGAAACAATCAGTTCCTATAGGAGAACAGCATCAGCTTGGTACATAGGATCACCAGTGGAGAACACCTCACTGTTATCATACCGCATTCAGCCAGCAGTACCACTTCATCCTGGAACCCTCATAAATAATGTGGCTATATATACTATAACGGTAACTTTTTTCTCTATACCACTATCCAGCTGACCTTTCTGGCATAGTGGGACCTCGAGCGAATAAACCTCCCAACCAGTGTCACTCATTGAGTCTTTGCATTATGGAAGCTCGACCACCAAGTCAGGTAGTAGTTATTGATCAGATGAAGTAACTGCCTTGGTTAAGTCTACATTGAAGTTAAGGCTTTTCTCTAGCACCTTTACTTCTGCTGAGCTTAGGACTCTAGTTGAGCGGAGTTAGTGCTCGTCAGAAATAATCGATTGTCAGGTCGGATTTGCAACGGACGATCACGCTTGTGGTCTCGTTGGTGTGGGACCTCGTAGATACCCCGAGGTGCCGCTCCGATTGGGTCAGCTTCCCTACTTGAGTGTTAACGTTACCTCCAGCTGTCTGTCGGGATGGGCAGAAGCACAGGTTCCTGCTAATCTCGTAAAGCGGTTTCGCATTCAAACGTGGAAAAGCGCATTCCTTACTTACGGTCACTAATTGCCGACTGATGAAGCGTGACATGCGTGGCTTGTATGTTGTCCTACAGTAAAACGATATCACTCGCACGCTCAAGGCCGAGAAGTGTTTCGCCACCACCACCCACCTTAAGAGATTTCTCAAGAAAGTCGTCGAAGGCAAAGTTTGGGCGGAACAGCAAAACCAGACAGCTCTGCTCAACCCGACTGATAGTCAGAAACAGTGGAGAGATGAGGTTGTATTTCTTAACTCCACCTGAGACAATATTAAGTCTGCGAAGAAAGATGGTAGTCAATATTTCAAACGCTGCAGGTAGCAGCAGAGTGATGCCCCAATGACTGTCACTCAAGTTATCCACACTCTTTCTAATGATAGGTATACCAATGGACTTATCTCACAGGGGACAGGGTGATCTCAGCCTGCCATACCTTCCTAGGTGGTCTGTTCAGTTCGCTGACTACAGTCTCACCTTCATTCTTTAAGATAACCGGCGGTAGGTCGTCTGGACCGATTACTTTATGGAGTTTCAGTGCTTATAGTGCCATTCGAATCTCTACCTCAGTGGGTGGACCAGTAATAACTGACCACGGAGCACCAGATACCAAATTTGATGTTTTTTGAACAGAAGGGCGGTTGAATAGCTTTTCGAAGTGCTCCACTTAGCGTTCGAGATGTTTACGAAGGTCCCTGATCGGTGTCCAATTTATGATACAAACCGTTTCGGTGACACCAAGTTTCTTGTTACCAACAACGTTTGACTGTTGCCAGATGCAATTGCTGCTTCCACTTCACTGCACTCGTCCCCCGGAATATACCACTGAGCATCAAGAACTTGCAAGGAACACATGAATACCTAATGTTTACTAGCGGGACGTTCTTCAGTGCCGAGAGCAGCCTCACGCGCCATTTTCTTGTCATCTTGTAGGTGCCACTAATGATTATCTGTGCATACTGTCTGAAGGTTTGGCAACTATCCATGGATCTAAATAGGTTTGGTATTTAGTTGCGATACCAACAGCAACCAGTTTGCTGAGGATGATTTTTATAACCGTCAGAAGGCAAGATGAACTGACCACGTACAAAAGCATAATGACAGTTCAAACAGATGCCTTAGGAAGAGTGCCGGTTTTGAATAGACTCATGTCATGAGTTTCTGACTGCTGTATGATCTATTTCGGTCCAAGCTGGATTGGCAGAGGTGGAACTCTGGTTAAAAACAACCATTTCTGTGCTGAAAGTTGGTACTGGCTAGAAATAGGTTGTGATCACGAAATTGCAGTAGATCGTCTCCACTACTCGGTCCGTGGCTGACTAATCTCCATCAGCCACCAAAACTGCTCTTCTCTAAGCTTTGAAATCCGACATGTACATTCAATTCCCTAGCTAGCGATAAGATATCTCGATCACGATCAAGCACTATTGGTAAGGTCACTCAATTGATGGTAGAATCCATCCTTAACAGCATCCAAGCTATATTCGGTTGGAGCATAAACAGAGATGAAGAAACATCGACTCCGTCAGTTTTTCCTCACTCCAAACTTTTAGCTTTGACTATTCGGGATCTGGTCAACTAGTGCGGCTTCATGTTTAGCACTTATTGTGTTACTAACACTAACAAAGGTCGGCTGCTGATACTTCAAAAACACCCGATAAACCTACGGTAAACACTTTTTTGACTGACATATGGAGAACTTATTCAAAACACTTCGCTGAGATCGGACAACAAGCATGTTTGGCTTGGAATCTGGAAAGCCTTGCCTCTAGAGTTCGCTACTTCTCAGATAGGTCGGAAAGTTAAAGTCAACCAGCTTACGCATTTCGCATGGGTTAGGATAATGGAATCAGATATCAAACTGTAGGACAGCTTTGCGGAAGTAGCTATTTAGGGACTGAAGACCCTGAAACCATATCAGAGCTATAATCTTTCACATGCTGCTGTGTGAAACAAGGATACTCATAAAAATGAATTTGAGAATGATTACGAGAAAACGTAAAAGTTCAGACGTAGAAAAAATAACAACACTGAAGTGACAGAAAACTGAATGAATCAGCATAAAGTTAGTATAACAGTGATATGGATTGTGAAGTCTTAGTTGTCAATATTATTGTGTTGTCTGTATGTGAGTTTTCATACTGCCTGGACATTGAAACCGAAGCAGGTGGTTGTCTTAGTAGATCACTCTCTAGGCATTTGACTTGAAGTCTAATCTACGTGGCAGCGTAGCGGCGTTATGCACTGTATTTCCGTGGTTATTGGTAGCCGAATAAGGTTTGTGTGCCACTCGGTAGTACTGGATCATGAAGCTCATATGTAGCAGTGTCTGAGAAGCAGAATTTATTAACTGGCCCACGACGGATCCTTCGTATCCGCCAATCCAGTTATAGATGCTGCACAACGCTTTCACCGTGTCACTTTTGTGGAAATCACCTCCACGTGAAGTCAGCTAGTAGACTCTCTCTGACAAAAGCTATGGAGCGTAACCGTATGAAGCAGCATTTCGCGAGAACTTCAAGCACCATCCAACCCTCAAGCGTACCAGTGCCTTTGGGCAGAAAACATGTGCGAGAGAGAAAGAGATTGCGAATAATCTGATTTTGTATTAAATTATGCAGGTCAAGAAGCTATTTCACTTATGGAGTTTAATTCAGTGGTTGTCTCGACTTAATTGAGCGTAGATTTATATCGTTGAAGGGTGAGTAACTGTTGACAGTATTTATATGTGTATGAATACGTAATATTTTCTATGTCCATGTTCACTGGTATTTCCCTGTTTTTTCTTCTTAGTATCAATGCAATTGTAGCAATTGCGACGTACACTGGTTATAATCAAGAAGACTCTGTCATTTTGAATGAAAGTGCTATACAACGTGGATTTTTCAGATCTGAATTTTACCGAACATATAAAGATCAAGAGACACGACATGGTATGGATCTAGAAGAAGTCTTTGAAAAACCGAATCCACAAAATTGTCAAGGAATGCGTCATGCTATCTATGATAAATTAGATGATGATGGTTTAATCGCTCCCGGGACAAGAGTTTCTGGAGATGACGTACTTATTGGAAAGACGATTACACTCCCAGAAAATGAAGATGAAGTAATTAATTTTTTAATTGATTACTGATAGTTATTGACAAGCTATAAGGTGGCTTTAATCAACAATCGATTAAGTAAAACAAACAGAATCAACTTAGAATGTCACACACAAGTGTATCGGCTCAAGTTACTACACGTCACAGTAATATACAAAGAACAGGTAGACGGAAAAAGAGTGATATTAAAAGAGACAAAGCTGTGTGAGAGAATAAACAATTTGGAAATAATGGTCTGTGCAAATATTCAAACTTTAGTAGACAGAGAGTCAATGCGTCTGCGCCATTGTCACCGATTTTCAGCCATGTCACCAAGAGTAATCAACCACTGACTTCTATCTTTTCGCGGACCCCAACCAGGAAGTCTACATCTCCCCACGTAACTCAGACCAACAGTTGGGGACTTCATCGACTGGTGTCGCTTCCTGGTCTGGCCATCCTGAACCTGTTTCCAAAATAATCCTGCTTCCTCTAGGACGACACGTCTAGGTAGGCGGTGACTCGGCAAGCGCAGTACATTATCAAGCCATCTCAATCGACTAAAGTTCACAAGCTCATCAACAGACTTACTTGTCTTGCTTAGTACCCTTTACCTCACCACAATATTGTTCACATGGCGATTCCACTGAATGTGAGCAGTGCTACGAAGATAGATATCGGTGATCGAAACCCTGTAATCCCTTCATGTCTTCTACTTTAACGGCCCTGTCGCAGCCGTATAACATGACAGAATGGACTCCAGCACAGTATACTCATCCTTTGATAGGTAGTCGGATATTTCGCCAGTCGGTGCTAGAGATGACCCAAGTTGCCAAACGGCCCTTCTGTATCCGAGCTGAGATTTCATTAAAAACCAACCCGTTCGGGCTGATACAGCTCCCTAAGTAAGTGAAGTGGTCGACATATTCCACCACCTCATTCCCAATTCTTAAAACAGGAGTAGTGGCAGACCAATACTGGAGCATCATCTTACATTTGACAGACGTGAAACGCATCCCAGGTGACCCTACATTTTGTCAGCGTCTTCAATCAGCAGAACAGTATCGCCTACAAACTCCAAACCAACCAGATTAACCTCTTGGGAGTAGGTCAGTTCTTGCGAAGCTAGGCGTATCTAGGATGATGTCCATTAGTATGTTTATGACGAAATGGAGTGGTGACAGCGGGCATCCCTAGTTGTCGTCAGTTTGCATGACAAGTTTCCATAAGCCTTTACGCGGCTGCGTGAATTTGAGTAGAGAGCCTTTATTGGCGTGGCTTGGCTATCATAATATCCCCGAGAGCACTGAAGGCTCTCATACATTGGGAACCAATCTCCTCCTGCAGGATCAGGATCATGACAGAAAGATTCAACTCAAAATGAAGGAAAATCACAATCATACAATGATACGCTACGCTACGCACCTACAAATCATGCAGATGAAGAGAAAAAGCAGGAATTCTACAGACAACTGCCATCAGTACTGGACAAGATCCCATCCACCACAGATGGCGACATCAAAATTCATTCTGATGGGTGACATGAATGCCAAACTGGGAGCAGACAACACAGGAGGAGAACTAACCATGGGTGGAGAAGCGCTCGGTGAGGTGATGAACGAGAATGGAGAATTGTTTGCAGAATTCTTTGCATTCAACGATTTGGTGATTGGAGTCAGGCATTGTGTTCAAGCACAAGGATATCCACGAAGAGAGCGACATGGATTTCACCAGATGCCAGGACACACTAAAAATCAGACCGACTTCATCCGAATGTGAAGAAAGTGGAGATGCAGTCAGCCTACTTGACACAAGATCAAGAAGGGGAGCAGATGTAGGTTCACACCACTCACCATCTGGTGCAAGGGACCTTCCAAATCAAGTTGAAAGCCTTCTAGAAAGTTGGCGACAGACCACAGTTCAATTTCAACACCCAGAACAGAAACTGAAGCACGAAACTACAAAGAAAATCTTTATGTCAGCCATCAGAACAAAATGGGAGGTATTGAGCAACATCCCGAAGAAACCTGTGTGGAAGAATACTGGAACTCTTTGAAAGCTATGTGGAAAGAAACCCGCATAACTGTATTAGGAAGGAAGAAGAAAGAAGATAAGGAATGGATCTCGACGGACACATGGAAGCTGATAGAGGAAGGAGAGGAGGATGGTGAAGCAGAAGATAAACCAGTGCAAGGATGAACAACAAGAAGAGGAACTGAGTGAAACGTATGAAACACTGGACAAAGAAGTGAAGAAGAGTGCACGGAAGGACAAAAGACACTTCCACGACACACTGGCAACTGAAGCAGAACAGGCTGCAGGTAGGAGCGACAGAGGCCTGACAACATTGTATCAAATAACCAGGTTACCATCTGGGAGGGAAGAGACCAACTCAGATGAAATCAATAAAAGATAGTGAAGGAAAGCTAGTTACCATCAAAGAGGACAAACAAAGGAAACGATGGGCTGACCACTTCAAAAAGCTCTTGAATCGACCATCATCTGCACTTCGTCCAGAAATACCACCAGCAGCCCAGCCACAGAACTACCAGTGAACACAGGCCCTCCAACAAAAGCAGAAGTCCTGAACGCCACAAAGCTACTGAAATGTGGGAAAGCAGCAGGACCAGATGGAATCCCACCAGAAGCACTGAGAACAGACGCAGGGACAACAGCGGACATGCTCACACCACCATTGCAGAAGGTCTGGGAGGAAGGAAAGGTACCGGCAGGTTGGAAGAAGAGCTACCTTGTCAAACTACCGAAGGAGGGAGACCTAAGTCTTTGCAAGAACTGGCGAGGAATCATACCTCTGTCTGTAACCACCCCCAAGCAAAATATTATACCGCGTCATCCTGGAGAGACTAAAGGATGTGCTGGATTCAAAACTACGACCGGAACAGGCTGGATTCAGGAGATACAAATCATGTGCAGACCAAATTGCAATGCTACTCTACGCATCATCATAGAACAGAGCATAGAATGCCAGTCAACAGTAACAGTAGACAGTTATTTAGACTTATTAAGGAGACTGGGGGGAAATGGTCAACAACAGTTAGTGAGGTTATAGCGGAGAAGGACGGATCGGCGATTCACTCGCAGGGAAGGCGACTGGGACGATGGGCAGAACACTTTGAGGAACAGTTTAACTGGCCTCCAGCCACCATTGCGCTGCCCGCTATCCAGTCGGACCCTGAATGGGACATAGAGACAGGTCCCCCAACACTAGAAGAAGTTGAGAAAGCGGTAGGTAGCCTGAAACGGGGAAGGGCAGCAGGACCAGACGGACTACCTGCTGAGGTATACAAGAATGGTGGTAGAGTTCTCTTAGTCAGGCTAACGGAAGTGTTAGCCAGTATATGGGAATCAAATACGATCCCCTCCGACTGGTCTAAGTCACTGATCATCCCAGTCTTCAAGAAAGGCGAGAAGTCCTCTTGTGATAACCACAGAGGAATCAGCCTGACAAACATAGTGTCTAAGATCCTAAGTTCTATAATTCTCCGACGCCTGAGTGGAGCTCGGGAACAGCAAGCCCGAGAAAACCAGGCAGGCTTTAGACCTGGCCGTGGATGTATCGACCAAATATTCACACTGCGCCAGGTCCTGGAACATAGGCATGCTTACAGACGCCCGACAATAGCTGTATTTCTCGACCTGAAGGCGGCATTTGACTCCGTTGATCGAGAAGTCTTATGGCAGTGTCTGTCACTGAAAGGCGTGCCTAGTAAGTACATCACCTTATTGAAAGCTCTCTACTCGAACACTTGTGGGCATGTTAGAGCCTATGGTGAGTTGTCCAGGGAGCTATACTCATCAAGTGGTGTCCGTCAAGGATGCCCACTATCCCCATTCTTATTTAATTTTATCATAGATATTCTTATGGAGGTTTCCCTCTCGTCACCTAATTACAAAGACGTTGACCGGATCACAGGTGAATTTTCCTTAGATCTAGAATATGCAGATGACATAGTCCTGTTAGGTGAAGACGCTGACAAGATGCAGAGTCTTCTGAACACTTTGAGTGGGAATTTGAGAATGTTTGGGATGCGATTTTCACCACCCAAATGCAAATTTTTGCTCCAGGACTGGTCTTCAGCGGTACCGCGGTTAACAATAGAGAGTGAAGTGGTTGAGTGTGTTGACCACTTCACTTACCTGGGAAGTAGGATCAACCCGGTGGGTTAGTTGCCGATGAGATTTCTGCACGGATACAAAAGGCTCGATTGGCTTTTGCCAATTTGCGCCACCTATGGCGCCGCCGTGATATTCGTTTGTCTATTAAGGGTCGCGTGTACTGCACAGCAGTCCGCTCTGTTCTACTGTATGGCTGTGAAACATGGCCATTGAAAGTGGAAGATATAAAAAGGCTTCAGGTGTTTGACCACCGTTGCCTTCGTAGTATAGGACGTATTCCGTGGTGTCACCATGTGAGTAATGCAGAAGTTAGGTGTAGAGTTTTGGGGAGAAGAGGTAAGTCAGTCGACGAGGTTGTGAACCTTCATCGACTGAGATGGTTGGGACACGTACTACGTATGCCTAGTCACCGATTGCCTCGTCACACAATGTTGGCTGAGGTGGGTTCAGGCTGGAAAAAGGCCCGAGGTGGCCAGACTAAAACATGGCACCAATGTATGAAGTCTCTGACTGTTGGTTTAAGCCATGTAGGACGATGCAGACTAGGTGGTTGGGGTCCGCGGGACAAGAGGAACCAGTGGTTGGAGACCCTAGGTGATATGGCTCAGAACCGAAGTCAGTGGCGCAGATGTATACACACATTATCCTCATCTTAACAACGCTATACCGAATCTCACCATTTTGTCACTCCTCTTTCCTTTCTTCTCATACTTTATATTTCTTTTGACTGCATTCACTTATCTTCATCCTTCACCTCACTACCTTTTTACTTGATGTGCTGATATGAGGTGTGGCAACTCGGACCGTTACGCAGTAATGCCTGGTCCTATGTTGATAATGATGATGATGATGATGCCAGTCAACTCTCTATCTCAACTTCATCGACTTT